TGGCCACATAGCTTGGCAAAAACAAGACAAAATAGTTTCTCACGGATAAAATAATTGCACCTATGTGGACAATCTTACCCAAGTATGGGATTTTTTTTAGATATAGCTGAGGTCAAATTTGACATGAAACTAAAATTGAATTGAAACATTTGGAGTTTCTGTGACATACTAAACTAATTAGAAGTGTTTCCTTGCTTTCTTGATCTAAGAGTTTCCAACCATAGAATTGTCTTTCTATCTGAATTAATGTGATATTAATACAAAAAATCTCTGACTAGTCCTTAACACTCTCCACCCCAAGCAAAATACAGAGGGGAAGAAAGTGTTATCAAAAGCTGAAAGGTAATGAGTCATTTTAATATTTAAAATATAATTCAGATCCCACAGAAATGAATGGCAAATCTTTCATAGAGTTCAGCAGAGAAAGGCTGTCAGTACTAATTAAAACAAAGGAAGAATAGCTGTAATATCTTCAAAACTAATAAGGAAATTAAAATATAGGGGTTTTGTAATGAAATTTAAAATTATGACTGTAATTAAGGTGTACAGACGTATCTGTAGAAAAGAGGAATTAAGTTTTACCTGTTGTATCCAGTCTGAATTATAGTTTCACATTGCAAATTAAATCAACTTGTTCTTTGTTCTATTTTGTATATTTTTGAGTGTGCATGCACCTCCGCTGTTTCTTGCTCCTGTCAGGATGAGAATAAGTAGGGAAGAAAAGCTGTTGTATTTCACAAAGCCAGGCAATATCAAAAGTCTCTCACAAGAGCTTTTCTCCCAATATTTCCTGGCAACAGGGTTTTAGATAAATGCAGATAAGCCTTGTATAAATATCTGAACTTTAGAAGGCTTATCTAAATGAAAACATCTCTGAACTTCTGGCATTCACTCAGCTAGTTAGTTTTTCTTATGCTCGTGCCTCTCCTTAAGAAAGTATCTGAGTCTGTACTTTGCTGCTCTCCTTACCTCCATCTCTCAGAGGGGATGGGATGTGTTGATAAGTCCTTCCAAAGTCAGTGTCCCCCTAAGCACATGGAGCACCTGGAACAATAGAAAGGAAATTCTCACGGCACCTTCCTCTTTCAGGGCCTGGAAAGCATTTCCATGACATCATGCCTCAGAACTCACATGCATCCCTAAATTTAGATTACCCTCTCAGTTCTGCCACAATAACATGCTGGTATTACCATGCCTGTTTTCAAGTGGAGCATTGTTAGCATGTTTCTTTTATCTCCTGTCCCAGCGTTGGCCCAGCATTAGCTAACATCTCTTGTGAATAACACAAAGACATTTTCAGAGCTGTCAAAGGTAATTCAGACCGAAACACCTCTTTCTTGGTCTCTTTTGAATTTCACTTGGATTTCAAGCAATGCCCTCAGTCCCTCATCATTTATGTAGAAACAAAGCATTCCATCTCAGGTGCTTCTTTAGAACTGTTCACATTCCCCCAGTCTCAGGAAAACTATATGGATTTCTTTTTTTTTTTTTTCCCAATTAAAAAAATTTCCAAAACATATAACTGCTTTAATTGAATCTTATATTAATTAGTTTCCTCCTTGTCGTAAATTAAATTCCAATTTTACATAGATTCTATGAAATAAATTGACTAAACGCAAAGTCCATTGCTCTACTTCCTGATTGATCCTGTTGCCTTATACTCTATCATCAGCTAATATCTCACTCTTGAAAAAGTACTGCAGGCTTTTAAAAGTGAGATCTTCATGTCTGCATCCCTATTACACCTGCACATAAAGATATCAGCCACATATAGTGCTGCTGTTGGGAAAAAAAATATAGTGATGATTACATTATCAGCTAAAAGTAACAGTAATAATAACAACAGATATTTAAAAAGACAGTTGAATTCATCTTGTAGTCAATTTTGAATCATCAGAAACATTTTGTTTTCTCTTACATAACCCACTGTTTGTGCGTATGATGATCCCTCTATGTCACTGATCCATAGAGCTGTATAGTCCTCCTACTTGTATTTTTAACAAAAAATCACTTTCAAATAACAGGAATTTATAACTTACAGTACAGAAGACTTGTCAAATTTCCTATTTATTTATTTGCTCTGCCATTTAGTGCACATATCCAGAGGAATACCACTGCATTTACAGTTTCAAAAATTGTTATTTTTACTGGTGCTAAATACACACTTAATATGCCATATTCTAAAGTTGAACCACTCAGGCTTAGGAGAAATAAATTCAAGAAATTGAACTTCTTCCTTAAATCATAAATAATTCTTTATATAATACAGACCTACCAAATTTATCATCTCACTTACGTAAAGTTTTGTCAGCAATAAGTGTAAAGGGCATCAATGGGGCTAAATGCAACTGAGAATTTGATGGAGATTCTGAAACTGCTTTCCCTGAGATTTTGACCAAGATTATGCATGACATTGGGCAGCATTAGTGGTAATTGGGAGCCACAGTACTTTTATACCTCTCTGTAAACATCCTCTAGAAAATTTGTAACAGGTAGAGATGCCACTAGGCTCACTGGGCACTCTGAATATTGTTACTTAAGAGCCTCGTATTAGAAAATTCTATCAGTTGAATTAATTGGTGGAAGAATTTAGCAATAAAATCTCTGCAGCCAGGGATATATTCTCTTTGCTCTTTAAGTTAATTGCAGCCTCCTCCTTGCTACCCTCCATAAGTCTACTATTCAAAGTTCTATTTCTCAAGGCTTCACGTCTCAGTTCATGACTCTCAGAACACATTCAACTCTGAATATTTCTGTGATATGCAGAGTGGGTTTTATGTGACACAGGTGAGCCCCAGAACCTTGTGATATGCTGCACAAAGACAGAAACGGTCTCTGATTAAAAAGAATTTTTTGATTGTGAAGACTTAAGGCTTACAGTGCATCCTGTGTGCCACCTGGAACTTGGAATGTGTTGAAGCAAAAGCAATTAAAAAAGCTGTTCCACCAGAACAGAGGGAGTCGGAAAAAATAAATGGAAGAGAAAACACAGAAATACTAGTAGCAGTTAATTCGTGGTTGCTAGGAGTAAAGGTTAGAAGAAAGAAGGTAGAAGGAAGCTTTTTTTCTGACAGTAACTGACAGGCTTGCTATGTTAAAAGTTTTCAGTTTAATCAGGTGGAGTTAGCAAACAAACTATGCATTAGAAATTAAAGAGTTGACTACATGTGGAAAGGAAAAACTAAAAACCATATGTAGCAAGGAAAGTGAAGCTATTACACTGTTCATTGTGTAATCTAAGGCTGAAGAGCATTTTCTTTTCAGATGTCCATGATCTCTAGCAGGGGTTTCTGAAACACTGTTTCAAAGCGTGAGACAGAAACTCAGGGAAACCTTACAGCTAGACAATAACAAGAATATTAAAATATACCAAACAAAAGAATCTTCCAACACTCTGCAGGTACTCAAGAAACCCGAGTACCATAAAGTGTACTCAAGACACAAAGGAATCTGAAGCCTGAAGTCCAGTATGCTCACAAATTAAGCAGGTAGATTTAAACACAAAATATGGGGAGAACTATTCTGAAAAATGCATGCAATGATTTTCCGCTTCATTTTGTCACAACAATGACAAAAGAAATGCATTGAGAAAACACATTTCAAACAAGAAAGAAACAAAACGCGGTAACATTAACCTTAATGTAAACATTGCTGTCAGAAATTCAGCAGAAGTATGGTTAGAGGAGAACCTGGATATTGGTGAAACCACTCCATGGTAGGCAAAATAACTGTTTATGAAACAATCATGGACATATTGTGAAATTCATGTACTCTATGAAAATATCGTTTTTTCCTGTCAAGCATACACTCATTTTGGCACAGGAAGCACACTGTGCAGCGTGTTAATTAATTTTTTTCATTCCCTGTTTGTACATATTTTTTCACAAAGAATAAAATTCTATTGTGGTAGCTGGGGAAATGAAAAGTAAGTTCCTTTATCTTCATGTTAATTTATGCAAGGGATGATAGTATAATTGCTTCTTGGATCTTCTGGCTTCAGGAAATATGCCTACCCCTTAAATAATTTTCAAAAAAAGACTCACAGACCTCTGCTCCTGTGTTTGTGCCATTTTTTATGGTAATAAAGCTTGCTTTCTTATCCACATTCATAAAGTAAAGTATCACAAAAATAAAAGTAGTTCCATTAATTTAATCAACATCCTAAGCCGTGCAGCACAACCTGAAGATGATAAATTTTCCTTTTTCTATGTAAATGAAGAGTTAAAAAATAAAAGTATTTAAGTTAGCTATTCTAATACTCTTGTATTCTTCCCCATTTAAATGAGGATTCATTTCCTGGAATTAAAAATAAGAATCATAACTTCCTGATTTACCCTGCTGAAATCACAATTTTCTAATTAATAACGTTCATAGAATAAGTAATTAAATTGTCATAGCTTTTTGTAAAAAAAAGCAAAGACATTATCCTTATTTCTGCCTCTGTCCAATTCTTTGAAAAAATTGAGGCAGATGATGTATAAGAATGAATTGTTTTATTTGTAGGTAATCTGTTAACTGCAGTTCTCCATGAAGTCCTAAGACAGTTTCAAAGGTTCAATTCATTAAAAGAGTTATAAAGATATATTACTTAGGCAGGCTTTTCATGGCATTATGCATCCATTCCTGAGTATCATTTATGTTTTGCTGCCACTAAGTTAGATTTCTTAAAGAAACAGCCGCACAGGTGCATGGCTACTGAATCACCATAATAAACTCCTACCAGGATAATGAGCATGATTTCTTAAATTAGTATTTACTGTAGTAAGTATCTGATGTATGCACTAGTTCCAGTTCTATCCTTAACTTCAAATATACTTTCTGAGAAGCAAGATGTATTTCTAAGATGCTGATGTTAAACTCCTAAATAAGTGGCTAGCTTATCAAATTTAGTACCTATTACAGTAATTTAAGAATTTTCATGCCAGATTATGTAAATATATATATACACAAACATGCATACATATGTATGAAAATAGTCAACCTTTTCTTTCCATATTTAGAGAGAAAGGAGGAAAAGAAAGTGATGGATGTAAGGAGGACTACCTCTGAAACTAAGAAGAAAGGTATGATTTGTTAATGTTTCTTGTCGACTTCATTCAGCTTTTATTCCCACTCCTGAATCAAATCCTGCTGATTTTGATTAGGCTAGTCCTATGGTTCTGGCTCTGTATTCCTCTCCTTTATTTCCTTAATCAACATTTGCACGTTACTGCTTCTTCTTCAGTATCTGATGAGTTTAATGACTGATATTTTCTGAACTCTTTTCCTGAAAAAATAAAAAAATCATGATTGGTGGGCATATATGGGCTTGTTAGGCAATTTAAGGGAGACCTTATAAATAACTGTACACATCGGTACTGCCATATACTAAACTCAGTATATCACTTAGATTACTGTGTACAAATATATGATAGTGGGATTTGTTGATTTGATTTTTTTTAACAGAATCACAAACAAAAATTATAGTGACCAAACTGCAAAGCCTTAATATTCACCTAAATAACACTTTGGATTATTCATTCCCAGGAAGCATCTAAAATCCATTAGGAGTTTTGTCTGATGGAAAAAATATTTATGTCATTTATTATTTATTAATGATTTCATTGCTACTGGAACTTAAGCTAAAAGGTACTATGTTCATGCACTGATGATTTTCGTCTAGCCTTTGATGAATTATTGAGGGTCAAAATCATTCATAGTTGATGCATACTGATTAATTTTCATTTTCAGCTGATTGCTCTGTAGCTAGTCAGGTGCAAGTGCTATAAGGGAATAGTCTGAGTTAAACTCCCAGATAAAGTACTTTTTTTCAGAATGTGCTCACCAGGGCTTAGATGAATGCATATTTGAGTGTATGATTCAGTGTTATAACTTATCAAATGACTTTCTTTGATTAAATCTTAGAAAAAGAAGGGAAAAAAGAGAAAGCACAAGAGAAAACAGCCACCCCTGAAATTAAAAAAGCAGGTAAGAAGATGAAGTCTCCTTTCTCTGCAATAGATATCTGACCAGTTAGTTTGAGCACTTTCAGTTTTAACTCTTTTGAGATAGTGATGCTCACAATTCATTATCAATTAAGAATCCAAGCTAGAAATAGATATGTATATATATATATCACAGTGTATTTTAACTACTGTATTTACATTACATAAAATATCTATAGTGTTTTATGCATACTATATATGTGCATATATATATATATCTACAGACTATACGCACAATTTTCAGTTTGTACTTGAAATCAGTAAAAGAAGGAGCAGTTTAAAAGAGTACATGACATGAAAAAACTGAACGTGGTGCATTGAATTTTGCATGATTTTTTTCACAAGTTCAAATCATTTTAAGTAATAAATAGTAACATCTACATATCAAATCACTTACTGTAGTAGAAAATAGTTTAATTATTTTTCCGAGACTTTATCCACACTCAAAATACATATTTTTAAAATTAAAAATGAAGTTAGTAAGTGTCCTTAAATCGATCCATGTTGTTTTACAGTATTTAATATTGAAATATTCAAATTTCAATCAGACAGGAAATTAACCTTTGGATCTAAGATAATTGTAAGTTTTATTCCCTGTTATTTCAGTACATTTGTGAGCAGATTTAACATACAAATGCAAAAATATCTCCAGTAAGGTACACAGCTGTCTCATTAAAATCAGTTCTCATTAAAATCATACAGAAATGAAAGGGTCAGTCTAGTGGCCTAGGTCGTCATAACACCTAAAGACACTGGTTTTGCTTTCTAGTTTGCTAAATATATTCTACATAATCTGCAGGTAGACATATTCTACATAATCTGTCATACAGAGCACAAATGAGTCTTTCTGTAGACTAGAGTAATTCTGGAAAAAGGTTGAAATTAAGACTGAAAGATTTAGGACTTTAGTTGCTACATCCTCAAAGTAAGGCTTGTGTTATGTTACCTAATTATTTAAATCTGTTGAACTTTATCAAAAGGCAAAATGACACATATCCCATTCTTTACTAATGCTGTAGATTACATATGCAAATCTGAATATGCGCGTATTTGCCATTTTGTCATGTATGATCTACATATGTTTCCCCGTTCAATGTTAATTTATGCTCCATAAAATAAAAATACAGAGGACAACTCTGGATACCATAAAGTACTGTACTGGCAGCCCCATATTTAAGTACAATTCAATCTACTATAGTAGGAAGAGGAACACTGAGGGAGGGATAGCCTTTCACAAGTTGCATATTTAAATGTATAAGCACATATTTTAAAAGAAAATAAGCTGACAATTCAAATATCTCTCCTAACTCTATTCTAGTTCCAAGCTTGTATTTCATTTGAGAATACAGAATTTTAAAATATTACATTTTATGCCAGAGCTGCAGCACAAAGTTATTAGTATGCTCATCTTCACGAGCTGTTGCTAAATCCAATGAGTCATCCGACCAATGCTAAAAAGACACAGATTAGACAAACCAAGACTTCTGCACATTCCTGTCCCTTTTATAAGCTCTGTAGGTTGCTGCATTTTAAAGAGTTTACTAGCCTTTGTGTAAGAGGATGGTAATCCATAATATATTCTTGCTACACATGTTGCTGTTATTCCTCATTCAGTTTTCTCTTTGAATGCATGTGTATTTTCTAGCTTTGATTGGCAGTACCTATTGTTATCCCTAAAAGATTTTAAGCCTGAAATAATTGCCACATTTGATCAACAGAATAGTGGTGCATAGCCCAGTTTTGAAAGGAGATGCTTCCGTGTCTGATAGAATTTATGCTCTTTGGGCAGACACAGTGAAAAAATTTCAGAGCGCTTAATCAGCAGCATCAATAAATATCCACAACTAAGAGAGTAGAAGAGGCTTCCCATATTGTTAACTTTTCCCATTAAAAGGCTATACAGTGGCCACTGCATTACTATTATAGAGTCCTTAGTTGGGAAGGTCTCTTAAAGGTCATGTGGTCCAACTCCCCTGCAATGAAAACGACATCCACAGCTAGATCAGGTTGCTTAGAGCCCTGTTCAGACTGATCTCGAACGTCTCCAGGGATGAGGCATCCCTCTCTGAGCAACTTGTTCCAGTGCCTCACCACCCCTTATTGTAAAATACTTCCTTCTTATATCCAGCCTAAATCTCCTCTCCTTTAGTTTGAAATATTTTCACCTTATCCCATCAGAAAAGATTCTACTATAGGGTCTGTCCCCTTCATTTTTAACACCCCCTCTTCCACCCCTCCCCCCTACACACACTTTAGATACTGAAAGGCTGCTATCAGGTCACCTTGTAGCCTTCTTTTCTCCCGTCTGAACAGCCCCAGCTCTCTCAGCCTGTCCTCCTAGGAGAGGTGTTCCATCACTTGGACCTTTTTTGTGGCCCTAATAAACTCTTTCCCATTGTTTTCAAGCCACTATGTTACCCCTGAACATCTCTGTTTTCTATCATTCTTCTCTCCCCAAACACTGATGTCCCAAGAGCCAAGGAGCATGCTGCTTCCTTGACACCACCTGTTTCCATCCCTGTGCCAGAAAGCGGTGCTGCTGCCAGAAGATGCCCTCTTGATTCATGTTCCCTCTCCTGTTCCTCACCTCCATGCACAGCCTCTTGGATGCCTCACATCTGACCTATTACCCAAGTGATCTCCTTGGTGCAATATACAGACTAGACTGCTGGATGCAAACATGATGGAGAGGTGGGGATGCTTCATAAGCAGTGGGTGATGCAAACTTCTCTAAAATAATGCCCTGAGAGCAGCACTTCCTCTCCACCTCTCTTCCTCTAACAATAAGTGCTTCATCATTCCCCAGCAAATGCTGAATATTTTTGCTGATTAATGCTTTAGATTAGCCCCTTTGTCCAGGAAACAATTTACCAGAGTATAGTTTTTTCTTGCTCTCCATTAGCTGCATCTGTGTGATGTATTTGTTTATTTGCATACCATTTCACTCCTTCTCAGTGCCTCTCTCACTGCATTTCTCTCTCTCCTTGTCTTCTGTTGCTGTAGAGGAGCAAAAGTCATCTAATGTGAAATGTCCTCAGTCTTTAGTACAAAATGAACTGAATGATTATTAATTAGCTTTTAAAAATGCACTGTAGATAAAACCATATTAATCCTCTGACCTTCAGCTAGTACAAAAACATTGTGTTAATTGTCCTGAAAAATAGATAATTCCATTGTTACAAACTCAGAGGTATTGCTTAAACAAACATAATTGTCAGGCACAAGGGTATGGCACAGTCACACTTCAAACCATTTTAAGAAATTCTATCCGGAGCTATTCAGGATGAGGAGGAAACTACATCTCCAAATCCCTGTGATGGGACATGTTGAGCCTGAGCAGAGAAATGCTTTTGCCTGGCTTTCCAAGGCTCCTGTGGGAAGGATGATTCAGATCAGAGGGATTCAGCCTCCAGTCTGAAAGAACTGAGGAATCTCTCTTCCAAAACTTTGGTGTCCAGACTCCTGGATAAACTGGGGCTTTTAGAAACACCACTAGCCTGGGGTGGAAGTAAACATGGCTTCTAACTTCTTGTAAAACACTGAAATGTGACAGAGAATCATTATGAAGGTGGGAATAGTTGCTCAAAGCATCCAGGTTCATAAATAACAAACAAGAAATGGACTGAGAGAAAGAAGTTTTTCCCCCTTTCATTCTCATATTCTGCTTACTATTTGAGCTTGTAAAAAGTAATTCTGATAGTAAGGTCAGATCGGACTTTATTTTTTAAAGGAAACAACATTGTGTGGAGTTTGATGTTCTTCATATACCCGTAGTTTGCCTGAAGATTGTCTTCTAATGGTCCCAACTGTCTGGAGCTTTGCTGCTCCTTCTGAAAATTCATAAAGTTCCTGAGCAGCATTTGCCTTTGATTCCTTCTTTCCCGTTTTGTTTTGTTCTCACAAGAAATAGCATAGGTAATAAGGGAGCTGATAAAACACAGAAAATGTCACCCTGGATCTTTACACTATTTCCTAACTAAAGCTCTGCTCAGCTATCACTGATGATCTTACATTCCAGTTATAGCTTCATAATTTCAAATGATTACGGTAGTAAAAATACTTAGATCTTGAGCAGCATTGTCCCCTAATAAATCCTTTAACTCTTTTGCAAGTGTAGTTACTGCCTTTTCCCTCACTTTCCACAAACATAAATTCAGGTCTAGATATGTCATGCAGGCCAGATTTTCACTGAGTCTGTAATATATATCTTCTGAGCACCAAATCAGTCCTAGCTGGATTAAACATCCCAAATTTCCTGACACCTTTATTATTTGCAGGTATTGACCACTCTGATCAGCTCTCCTTAACAGAGATAAAACAAGTTAGGGTTGTGTTGTGTAAACTACTCACCCACTCATAGTAGACCAGTGGCTCACTCACTCACCCAGTAGACCAGTGTCTTTCATCTGAGCCTTACGAAGGATCACTGCAGTCTCTATCTAAAAAAGAGAACTAAGTCACAATGCTTGCACATCCACTGTTATGGATACATCTGTGATGCATGCTACGGTGTCATATGTTTCACACCACAAAGTGTTAGGAGAAGAGGCAATTGGTGATGTCTCACTTACAACCTAAGCAAATCTTTGCCTCCTGAACAGAAAAAGTTGCTATAGGGCTAATGCAGACACTAAAGTACACCGTAGTGATGTCACTATAACAGTCATGAAAAATCACTCCGCAATTATGAGAAAATAAAATAAAAGTTGATCGCAGATGTAAAAACTGAAAACAATTCCTTGTAACTGCCAAGGAGCCGGGATAGCTAGGTCACTCCCACTATTTTGTCATTCAGTGAGATCAAGTAGCTGAGGGTGAAGTCTATGTTCAGTCAGTGTTGCAGTAGAAAGTAGGCAGAGCAGAGGGGAGATAATCAGGCATGAGAAAATATGACTTCTCTGCTCTCAGGGATTTTTCTGCATGATATATTGTCATCAGCTGTGTTTAATTTGTTTTAAATGCCAGTCTTAGCAAGCAAGAAAG